ATGTACTTCACAGCAGCCACGGACATACAGATTTGTCTGAACAAAGAAGAGGCAGGGAGAAAAGACAGGAGGAGGGCATCTGTTGCCATGATACTGACAATTTTGTCACTCACCAAACAAGCTTATCAATATATAAATGTCTCTCCTTATCAATTTCACTTGATGGCCTCTGCCTGCTAAAGAATGGCACTGGCGCACACAAACAAAATCTAACTATAATGCATAGTTTCTAATGGATGAAAGCTGCTGCCCAACGTGCCAGTATTTCAAATTTAAATGCTCGAGTATTATTGCCAAACATGAATTCATGACCAGATGCGTTTCAATTTAAATCACTAATTGCGATCTAAAGGCAATATGTTCAATATATTATGCAATCTGCATGAAATAACCTTTCATTTTCACTGATCATAAAGGGGATGATTAAATGACTGCACTGTTTTGCAGGAAGTGCCATTTAAAAGCATAGCTTGGTTTCTACAAATTATGTTAAGTAAAGTAGCAAGTAAGTAATGTCGACACTCCCCATTTGTGCTCTAACCTCTGGTTTCTTGTGCACCACTAAAATGGATTGAATCCCAATCAATTCTCTAACTAGTCTTCATTCTCTTGGAGAGCATTTTAAGTGAGATTTGTTGTGAGTCTTGCAGCTTTGCGTCATTGTTTATGTCTGCTAAGTGCACCTTTCTCAGTTTTCTCACTTTTATACTGCTTTTGTAAAATTCACTCACAGACTATTATTAATTAATTACTACTATTATTAATTGACACCTAAGGATGTTCACTCATTTCCTTTTTTTTAATCACCTGTTTGAATGAACAACACTTTTGTGATTTACTAGTAGGCCATGCTACTACATTTGAAAAGTTCATCACTGCAAACACGACTCTGTTGACTGCAGTGCACCGTTTGCTCTGCTGGGTAGAAGGTCTCTTACTTTACAGCACCTGCAGCAAGTGGATTTGGGGTTTACTTGCAGCATTTATTGAAATTTATTGAAGAAGCAGCTGATTACGTTAGATATTTATTGCCACAAACTGCTTGGCAAATATAATATTTGTAAAAGAGGAGCTTATAAACACTATTGTTTTATTATTCATGTAGGAAAGCCTGTGCATTACCTTTTGCTGTTTCCACACACCTAAATGCCTGTGCACGCCCTCTGCCACTAATAGAATTAAATAAAATGTGAAAAACATTTGATTTTAATGTCAACGAAACAGCCTGAATATAAGTATGGTTATTCTTTTAAGCCAAGAAAATATGAGACAAAGCTAAGCTTTTTAATAATGTAAGTCAAAATTAAAATGGAATAGAAATGACTATGTTGCTGAATATGAATAAGTATTCCCAAATTGAATTTAATAACAGACAGTACTAAATAGAAATACATTATGCTTTCATTTCAGCTTGGAACTGAAAACGGGTTTGAATCAAACATATACACAAGTAAATGGATTTGGTGATTACATTACTTCAGTGATAAAAAAAAAAAAAGTTAGCACCTTCTACAATGTATAGATCTATGTTTCCGTGTTCCACAGCTGATTTAAAGCTACTTGACACATGTACATTTCCATCCAGGTGATGGAATTTACCAATCCTATTACCATTGAACACTTAACCTCATATATTTCGATTGGTTGCTTATATACACATCAACTCTTATGAAATCTTCACCTATATGGCAGATCCAAATCAAAATCCTACAAGTGAAGAACTGCGAGGCCAAAACACATGTAAGAGAGCTTAAAGGGAAGTATGTTTAAGTATCTGAAACTATGTTTCTTTAGCTTAATGAGACCAAATGCTCCTACTGCATCAGAGGAATCGGCAGCAATCTGGTGGATGTTAATAGGTTTAAAGCTTTGCATCATCTTGTGGGGGAAATTGTGTGTAAAAGCTGCTTAACAGCCACTAAATTTGACAATTTTGATTTAAAAAATGACATTACAAATTTGTCATGTGATATTTTAAAGTTTAATCTTTCTGGTGTTATTGCTATATTTGTTTCATTCTAACATCAGTCTTTTTTTTTAATGTTCCTAACTACTGACGCACAACTCAGCCCTCACTAGTGATCTTTACTTAACTACAAGTCTATACATAGTCTATCATGTTTAAAATATCCCTGCCTATTATTTTAGCTTTCCTCTCTGAAAATGAATTTTCAATAATACCTTGTGTTAAGTGCACCTTGAGATTATGACTCATATAGATGACACATAAGCTGCCTTTCTAGTTGAGTGGATTTGTTTTATATATAACATCCGATATATAACTTAGGCGTTTCTGGGGCAAGCTGCATCACATCTGCAGTGCATCTGAAACAACCCGCCTACATTCTTTATTTAGATTTACGTTTGATGAATAGAAAAGGTTTTTGACAGAGCATTAACTCTTAACTGAAACCCAAACAAATCTGTCAGTGCGCAATCTTCTAGGTTTCATTGATTGTTTTGTAACCTCATGTTCTCCTCTGTGAACATAGATTTATTTCACTGGCTTACCTCTTACACTTAATGGCAGAGTGCTGAACAAATTTCATTAAATAGCAATACCACAAACCTTCTGCATTAGTGCAGCCCAAACATAAGTGAACGTACACTCTCTTACATGCATGCAACCCCTCAAAACACCCAGGAGTGGATAGATGGAAAACAAAAAGTGATATTTTAAAGAGCTTTGGAATTCATGTGGTGGACGAAGCCCATTATGTCCAACAAATGGATTTCGGTCAGCTAATAAACAGTACATTTCATGCAATGTTCCCACTTCAAGGTCCAAACATCAAAACAATCCAGTGCTCCAACTCCTCTGCTGCACTGATATCATCGAAGAAAAAGGGACACTAAACTGGGATAATGGCTTTTTATGATGGATGGACTACTATAATGGAAAGAAGGATGGAGACACAAGCTGCTTGAGTCATTCTAAAGCTCAACAGTGTCTAATAAAGTAGCCCAATCTGGAAATGTTTACAAACCAGGACTATCACCAAAGCCAAGCAAACATCCTGTAGATGTAACACTGCAACAAAGTGAGTGGACAAGACAAATCTTTACCCAAATACGTGCTACTGTCAGCAGCTGTTTACCGTAGATCAGCTGAAAGACTGGAAACAAACAAAGAGTGACTTTATTTGGCTTTTATTACAGATAAAACAAAAGTCATGCAATCATCTGGTAAAGTGTCAAAGACGGTAGGGACAATGATACTTTTCCGCACCTCTTTATCTTTGGATTCAAGGTTTTTCAGTCACAAAGGTGCCACAGTTGAATAGAATCAAGAACCTAGTCACTGAGTCTGTATTTGCAAACAATAAGTCCATTTGTGTGTTCCATGCTCAAATGTATGTGTGGAAGTGGAAGTGTTTACCAACGACAACAACTCAGTCACCAAGAAAAAAAGCCACATAAAGTCACCAATGTTTCTCCAAAACTCCTCTTGGCATTCACATCGGGACAAAAACTGTGTGCTGGGAGCTTCGTAGTATGAGCTTCCACGGCAGAGCAGCTTCTCCAGGTGTAACGTGTAGGTAGCTCAGTACTTTTCTTCATGTAATGTATAACAACTGATAGATAACTAGTTTAGCTTTTTTCCAGTTAGCAAACTAAGTATTTTATGAAAATTAAAATCTGAAATTTAATGAATGATCTACAATATCAAGACATGGTGAAAGCCAAATTACACAAATATATAATATATAATAAATATAGCATAGAATTATTAGTTAGGGTACGTCTTTTCCTCAGTGATGACAGACATCACTGGATTTAAATACACAGTATTTAAGCACAGTAGCATTTTACAGTTAAAATTACGTAAGGAAGTAAGTAGTACTAATGACAACACTGAGACTTAATAACAGTTTATTGAGACTATCCGTATAGACTTACTTTTAAAAAACAGCATCTTTATAACCATGCCCCATCTGGAGTGACCCATCTGTCCCAGAGGCAGAACAGTGACAAATTGTACATGGCAGCAGCAGTGTACAAATGAAACAGGACAGACTGTGATGAGAGATGGAGATATGGTTTGTTTCAGTGTGGTCCATGAGAGATGCTGTTTTTTTCTTTTGTTGGGGGTTGGGTGTGGGCGATGGGGGTGGGGTGAGTGTTAATACACAGTGGGGCTTTTAAAGACTCCCCACATGTTGAATGGTCATCTAAATACTATAAACATGATACATTTATAGAGAAATCACAAATAAGCCTAGCTATTGGGTGGGAGTTCTATCACTGTGATTGGTTTAATGGTAATAAATAAGATGATGAGCAGAATAGCGGCAAAAATAAATTTTTTATTTGTTTTATTATCTATAGTGCAGGTAAAATGATCAGAAAAATTGAAAAATGAAAAATCTTTACTTTTCACACTCTGTGAAAATCATTTTAAACTTTGCATTACGTGCATTATACAGCCACACCAAAACACCTTCTCAGGAAGGGAAGTTGGGTATCAGTGATGTTTGAAGCTTCATTCTGAATGAGGCAGAGCCATTGCATATGGAGTTGCACCTGTTGTCCATGTTTAGTCCTGTCTTTTGGATTCAGTTGGCCTGCATCTTGTTTCTTTATGATCAGCTTATTCAGCAGGCCATCCATCAACATTTGAGAACATAAATACATCATCTGAAGGAACAGCCCAATTACGCAAAGACAAAACATATGATTAGCCACCTTGGCAACAGCAACTATGTAAGAGCAAGGTTCTTGATAGCAGAGGTGTTTCTGGTATATTATAAATAGCATGGCACAGGGAAAAGCAAGAAGGGGTTGGGGGGAGGGGGTCCAGTGGAGAAGGTTGGAGTTGTGTTGTGGTTAAAGTGCTGTGAATGATTTTGGAGCACAGGTTCAGTCCTGATGCAGGTAGTGTTACATAAAGTGGCGACTCTTGCAAAGTACCAAGACAATATGGAAAATGATGCAAAAGTCAGTTTTCATGATTTAAAAAATAAATGTTGAAAACCATTAAATACTGTGTTCTTTTTCAGCAAGATTTGCACCATGAAGACCAGACTAGGCTGCCTGTCCCACAAATCTGACTCCTACAATGACTTCTCAGAATTCCTGCCTCCAGCCCATGAAACCACAGCCAGGTGTCTGAAGTGAGTTTGCCAGAAAACAAGCCTTCCTGTGCTGGTTTTATAAGACTACAAATTATTTTTGTGCTTGACCTGTTGTTGTGTGAAATAATTAGAATTATCAGACCTTTCAAGGAAAAGTTGCCTTTAAGACTTTCTTTAATTTGAGGTGATATGAATGTAATTTATTGCTTTCCATTTGAGCAGTATGTCGGCAAAAGTATTATATATTCTGAGAATGACACAAGTATTATTTTTATTATTATAGTTATTATTATTAATGCAAGTCCTAAGTCATAACATATTTGCAAGAATCACCCTTGGCATTTACTAGAGGAGATAACTTCAGCGGTGCATGTCCCGCTGTAATGACTGTATGAATGTTACTGCTGCACTAAACCATTGTTTGTTTGTCTGCCCAACCTAAGTTGGCAAACAAATGCACTTTAGGCTTCGAAACTGTCTGATTCTTATCTATATCAGATATTATGATATCATCATATTGCCTAGCACCCACCTATCAACTGGCTGAAATTTATAGCATGTATAGCATTTTATAACATTGTCTTTGGTCAGTTTAATTTCACCACAATGACATGTAATATATCAAAATAATATAATAATATTATATAATGTTAAATATAACCATTTTTGGTATTTCCAAATTGTGTTTACGGCCTCGAAATTACATTATATCATATGACATATTATGAAGTCAAGCTTACTGTACTTTGGGGTTACATCAAAACTTTAATGTTGGATCAGTAACCTTCTAAATGTATGTTAGGCGATGGCATTTCAAGCCGTGTGAATTGATCTAGCCAACCTTCCAGTCTTTTTTTAAAGCATGTCCAAGAAATTTCTTTGTCAGGTGCATGTTACTCATATGTACAGGTTCACCATAATGCATGTAAATACAGATTCATGGTGGAAATGAAAAAGTCCTCTTTTATAGATCTGCTTACAAAGTATTTCATTGAATTTAATCTTACATGCCACTTTTTATGATTTTTATTCTTTTGACAATGAAACACACAGTCCCTTAATCATATATAGATTACTTACTTACATGTTGCTGCATATAAATGGACATTGAGTTCCATATTTATCTTCATATATATATATATATATATATATATATATATATATATATATATATATATATAAATACCCCATTTTTTAAAAATCTTTTCTCAATGTCATTAACTGTATGAGCTGAACGCACAGACAGAGCAAACTGTACAGCATAATTGTCTGTTTAGCATAGACCTTTTTGCACTTAGGCTAGTAGTAATCAAGTAAATATTATTTTGGCCAGTTGGAAAAAAGGTACACTGTCAGATGTTCTAACACATCCTCACTAAAGTAACTTGTGGCATTGTTTTAAAATATTTCAGACTGCTTTGCACATGCTGTGGAAGACATTAATCATTTAATTGTAGCTCTGTTGTCTCCTCCAATCTTTAAAAGTAACCTGTTATTTGAAATATTTTATGGCCTTGAGAAGAAGAATTAGTATGAGGAGGAATTAATCATGCATTAAACTCAGTTGCCATTCAAGAATTTATATAAAACACTGCAGGGGACTCAAAATGCATTAAAGCATAGTTGTTGATTAGCATGTAATTGAGGCACTTCTTTTTGTCTTTCTCTCCATCAGACTATCAACCGATGAAGTTGTTCGATGGTCTGAATCATTCGATAGCCTCCTCACTCATAAGTGTAAGTGAACACTTTCTATTTTCTGAGGGAACAGTTCATACTGCACAGAACACTCATAGCCAGCCCCAAGAAAATGAAAGCCACCTTATACAGAAGTAAACAAGCCCCTACCAGTTTCGTTAATACTTTCCTTTTTTCACTCAGGAAAAACAAATTTTACTGTTCTCCTCTCAAGCCCATGTTATGCAAGTGTGTCATTTCTTTGTTGTTAAGAGTCCGTGCCGCATAATGAGTCACATCCTCGTCTTTGACCTTCCCCTTGGACCAAAAAGACAGCAGCACGCACTCACAACTCACATGTCTGTCTGCACAAATGGGTCATGGATTTATTTTCTGCTGACAAGCCATGTGACGTAGCATCTTTGACAGAAAACTCTAAACTAAAAGAGTAAAGGGCACATTCATTTGGTGAGAGTCGGATCAACTCAAATCAAATTCGAACATTTTCCTCCTACAATTAGGATGCTCATGTCTTGCTGAACCTCAAAGGTCAAATCAATTTTTTTTTACTGATATAGAAATCAATCGTCGTTTGTAGGAAGTGAACGTTTAATCTAGGCTGATTGAGGTCCTATCCACGTTTCCTGGAACAACTCAAAATCTTGGGTCAGTCAACTAGTACTGGATGAGTTTAATGATACCTTTGGGACTGTTGACCCCCAAGTAACATTTGATGAGCTGACAGCTTTGTCTTCCTTATTGTACGTATGCATACATGTACATAGATCAAGCACACAATTTACAACATATGCTTCCCTAAAAATGGTAATAAAAACACTGTATACCTGTCCAGTTATATGACCAATGATTGTGGCAATAATGTGTCAGTATCTGTAGCAAGGTGAGAGAAATACTATAAAAAAAAATTTTGATAAAGAAACACATGAGGTTATAACTAGCTATTTGTTTGTCTTTTTTTGCCAATTCATTTGCCAAATATTGTCTCAAATAATTAAAATCATTGTTTTGTTATACATGAATATAACCAAAGATGAGTGAGCTTGAACTGCTGGATATTGGGTGAATGATGAATGTCTAAAACCATAACGTGATTATCCCAGTAGTTCGATTACAGGAAAGGTTTAGGGTGTCCATCATTGTATCATTTCACTTTTTTAAAGTTCACCCAGGACCATCTTTATTTTTAGTGTCCTTGCTAACTAAATGTCAATCCACAGTTACCCTCTTTTTTTGTTTTTTAATTGAAATGCTAGGTGAATGCTTTAGCTGGGTGTCTGTGAATTCTGTTCTTAGTACAATTATATGAAATTCATTCATCTTTACATACGGTACAATTTAGGGCTTTTCCAGGTGAAAGATACCAGGGTTTATGAGCAATTACAAACCTGGCAGATTAAAAAACACATATTTCCCTCTGTTGTTTCCTCATCATTTCATCAGCAAAGACAATAAAGAACAAGACTTTAAAACACACCATAATTCTCATACATACACCAAAACTGAAGTGCTATCCAAATCAATGTATCCTTGTTGCACGGTGTTACTTGCACTTTTAAGATTGCTGTCAGTTAATAGACACTGAAATATTAACAAGTCAGTAATATGCGTGTAGTTATTAGCGTGTTTTGGACAAGATTTTTGCAAAAATTAATAAGCGTTGGAGTCCAAAGGGTGGGTGGCAACAGCTGCATCCCAGTTTTGTTCAGTGATGAACTCCATAACACTAGGCTAAGAAATGGTAGTCTTGAAAAGTCATACTCACTTGAACAGCTTCATTAAAATTGAGGTTATGACATAACACATCAGTTTGACACACAACAAAATAATGTTTCCCAGGCAAAACTAGAGGATTTCCCTAGACACAGGGAGCGTGATGCACCTGTGCATCCTGTTTCCACTGACCAAGCATTAGAGCAGCACACTACAAAATGTAGATACAAACACACACATATTTGGATTACATAAGTGATGTTAAATCAATAGGAACAGAGTGCTGGATGTTCCTGTAATAAGGTATTAACCTTAATTTGCTTTAAAAAAGAATACTGTGTGTTTCATCTGGATGCATTCAACCTGTGGGCACTGTTAGCTATATGTGACTTGTTAGAACAAAATAACAAGCAATACCTTTTTTTATGCATAACAGATTAGGAGAAAAAATACCGAGAGGAAAAAAACGTTAATGTTTCTGTACCAGAAATGTCTAAAAGGGTTAGGACAGGAGAAATATGTAACTTATGGTCCACGACTTTCTTAAGGATTTAGCAAATTGATGGAGGTTTCGAAATGGGCTGTAAATGTCTGAAATGGTGGGATCTGGGGAGAGGTTTTAAAGCAAAAGGATGACAGTGACTGTTTTAAAAAAATCTGGCATGCACACAGAAGATAGAGACAGGCTGATAATGGACAGGAGGTGGAGGTGATAAGTAGAACCTCATTTGCAACGAATATCAATTGGGCATGAAGAAGTGCACATATGCAAACTATATCTGGCAGATCTGTCATGGAAAGAGGATAAAACTCAGACAATGGGGTGGGCTGAGACACTTGGACAGATTGGAAGGTTCCTGGCTTGAACTGTGATCTGATACCATTGACCTTACCAGCAAAAAAATAAAAAATAAAAATCACAGTCATGGTAGGAAAACCAGATTGAGCAGGGGTAAGAAGTCTGGTGATGGTGTCTAACAGGAACCTAGAATTGTGCCTATGTGCTTGTTAGTGCTTATATAGCCATAGAAGTGGATTGCTCGTGTATCTTTAACGTAAAACAGGTTTACTTTTGTTTCATTTATCTACAAACAACCTTCAAATAACACAAAAAATCTGCAAAACGACCTAAACGTAACAGTTCATGTGCAAAAACCTGACATCATCCTATACTTGTTTAGAGACAAATATGGCAAAATGTCCATTAAGTTGATATCCAACAGTGATTTTTACTGGAAATGTTTAGCTCCAGTTCTCGCACTCATTTGTGATGAACGAGGTCCCAAATGATACAGAAAACATATTCATATTCTTCTGTCAGTCATCCTCAAATAAATGAAGTGTGATACTTTTTGTCTCATTTGGTTTAATTGAGTTCTCCTTTTTTTTGGAAAAAAAAATGTAAGATTTTTTTTCTCATGCTTTTGTTGGTAAGTAGAACAAAAAATTGTAATGTGTTTACAAATTTATAAGCACCACAGTAAGCGTATATGCTGTTCGAGGCCAATCAAAACAGTATTGTTGCATTGCACTGTGTTAAGAGGTAAACAGCAGAAAGGGCGGAAATGACATGTCAGCATGACACAGGCACATAGAAAAACATGCCCCACTTCTCATAATGTCAACAGGGAGCACATTAATTACTCACTTATCTTGGCTGACAAAAATGTGTTCTCTTTGTTGGAATATTTTGTTCTGATTTATTTATGCTGTAACTATAATACAATTTCCTGCTTATGTTCATCATACACCAAAAGATAATAAAGGGTAAAATGAGCTGCTGCACAGAAACGTGAGTCTTATGTGTTTTTATATTTTACATTCTTTAACTTTTTGATTCTTTTTTTTTTTTTTTTTTTTTCTCAGGTGGGCTGGCAGCTTTCCGGACATTTCTTAAGTCAGAATTCAGTGATGAGAATATTGAGTTTTGGATGGCCTGTGAAGACTACAAAAAAATCAAGAGCTCAGCTAAGCTGGTGTCAAAAGCAAACAAGATATTTAAGGAGTTTGTTGAGGTTCAGGCACCAAGAGAGGTGAGTTAATGCAGTTTTCTACAGACTTGACTATTAATTTTAAACCCATGATTCACTACTTTAAACCCATGATAAACCCAGTCAAAAGAAATTAAAAGATTCTTATCATGGTAACAGGATAGTGATGTATGACAAGGAAGGATAGCAGCAAGACTGAAAGGGAAGATTTACAAGATGGTAGTGAGACCTGCTATGATGGTTTGGCAGTGTCACTGACAAAAAGACAGAAGCTGGCACTAAAGGTGGCAGCGCTGAGGATCCTAAGATGTCCACTGGGACTGACCAAGATGGGACTGACCACTCAGGTTGAGTGGTTTGTAGACAAAGTTTGTAGGCAAAGAGAGATAAGACCAAGATTGGTTGCACATATACTGGAGAGTATGGATAGTGCATATTTTGGGAAAAGGATGTTGCATATGGAGCTGCCAGGCAGGAGGAAAAGAAGAAGACGTCAGAGAAGGTTCATGCATGTAGTTAAGGGGGACATTTTATTATTCATTATGACAAATTAACAAACTGACTATTACATTAATGAAAGTAAATGACTCTTTTCTTCAAAATTATTCTTTCCTCTCTTTGTCCTGGCAGATTAACATTGACTACCGTACCAGGGAGAAGACTAAGCAGAGCCTGGCGGATCCCACCCCAGCCAGCCTCAATGAAGTCCAAGGTAAAATCTACAGCCTCATGGAGAAAGACTCCTACCCACGGTTTCTCAGGTCCAAGATGTACCAGGATATAGTCAACAGGGCACAAGCGCGAGGACAACGAAGGTCTGTTTGACAAACAGTGGCAATAAAACTGGACCTTTACTGTAGATCATTTATCCTTTGAAATCTCTTAATACTGTGAATCTGCAAGGATGGGGGTGACCTGCTTGACTGTTTCCTTTATCAACACCAGCTCCATGCATGCAATCCCTCTAGATAAAACGTGTCTCTGTGGACTGCAATATACAATACAATTAGTGTGGATGATTATAAGCTAATGGTTTGCTGAGCAATCTGTCTGAAATATCAAAATAAAAGTACAGTATCATGCAATAATGATAGTTATCACAATATTTGCTATGTTTTGTTAGTTCTTTAGCTATGTAAGTTATTTATTTTTATATCAGTCATGCACTATGTGATTATAGGCTATAGACTCAAATAAAAGACTCAAATAGAGACTGGTAAGTGGTGGTTTGAATTGATATATGCATTTCTGTAATAAAGAAACTTTACAGTCAATAAAGAAATCAAATGAGTTGTTCAAATAGTCCTAAAAGCAAAAGAAAACCTTTATGGTAATCTCCATGTGCACCTCTGGATTGTTACTGCTTGATCACTACATGGAAGTACAGTTGTGACCAACTGTGAACCTGTGATTTCACAATGGTCCTTAGACTTGAGAGACCAGACACCAAACTTCATATCACAGCAAGTAGTTGGATTATGACCAAGAACATATCTGTGTACGTGTGTGTGTGTGTGTGTGTGTGTGTGTGTGTGTGTGTGTGTGTGTGTGTGTGTGTGTGTGCGTGCGCGCGTGTGTGTGTGTGTGTGCGCGTGTGTGTGTGTGTGACTGATTACTATGGTTGTGCACTGTGAATTTTCAAAATCCTAACAGTGAACATTCTGCAACCTGAATCTGAAGCTTTTTGGCCTTGCCAACTCTATTTTTTCTCACCAGCTGCCTACTTCCCAAATTTGACTTGTCCAGTCCAAGTAGTCATGATGTGACCACTTGGACTGATCTGCAAAAAGCAGATAAAACTAAAACTGAGTTATTATTATTATTTTTTTTTATAACTGAACTTTCTTTCTTTCTTTCTTTCTTTCTTTCTTTGATCGCACCTTTGTTTACCTCCGTGATTGCAGTTGGTCAGAAATTTGTAGGAATTTTCATAGCAAAATAAATGATTTGTCTAGTTGTGGCCCGTTCACATTCTTTTACATATATTACAACCAGTAACTGTTCCTAACCTGAATGGTTATTACACATAGAAACCAGGTGTTGGTTTAAGCAACACATTTCAAGTACTCATTGGTTGAAATAAATTTATATAATAATTTAATAAATAAAGTTTTCCTGGATAATAAACAGCACCGGTTATATATAAGTCACTGGGTGGCCTACATGTTGTATGTTCTTTTCCATCTTATGCATCTATTCCCAACCCTCTCTTTGTGGACTTTGCAGCCCTGCATCATCCTTCTTATTTGCTTTCATTATATTACTCTGCCAAGTAGAGGGTGCTATCACAATAAAACATGGGTCACAGCAAGCAGCACAAATGTTGTGCAGGGTGTCTTTTTCAATGGGAAGAGGGTCTCTCTGCTTTATTTTCTCTCTTTTCAAGAGTTCACTGGATTTATGAATATTTCTGATATATTTTATCACTGAGGAAACTATATTGTGGTAATTATCATTATTGCTTTATTGCTCAGCCCTGCCACTACTTGTCTTACCTCGTCTGTGAAATAGACACTGTTGTATGCAGGTAATTATACCTGCTGTGGTAGTTTGTGTGTTTACAATGAACAACTAAGTGAGTGACCACTTAATATCTGAAACTGTGCCAAAATAATCAATTGCACTTCGATGTTGTTATTGCATAATACTGTGTATCTTAAACTGCAGGTAATCTGTCAGCTCATTTCACTCAGCTCAACAGGCAGTTTAGCTTTCACTTCTGTTCTAAATGATAAAAATTGTTTAGGCAGTCAAAGATTCCCGAATGAGATTCCCTTCATCATTTCTGGTGATTTGGTCGGTTTAAAATATGTTACTGAACTGTAATGAGTTTTTTACGGATTATCGACTAGCAAAAAAGTTTGCAAGTAGAGTTAAAGAGTAATTTAAATCCATTCTATAATGGATTGATACCCAATTAACCAAAACAAGCAGCATAAACAGCAGACGTTCCATCAAGGTTACAGTGAAATACAATGTCCTGCTGATACTCTTCCACTGAATTCCATCCAATCTTTGCTGAAAATAGTTTTCTGCATGATGCAATACTCAGATTTACTGTTTATATATTCTTAAACATGTACAGTATGTTAAACAAATACTGCATATAACTTTATTTATAATATGTCAGTGTGCTCCTTCAGCATTTGATGTGTTTCTGCATTAGATGTGCTCCTTAACCTACCAATCCTTTAAATGAATTAAATGCAAAACTTTCCTGAGCACTTAAAGAGTGGTAAATATTTTCTTTAGTGCATGTGTACCACATAGGCCAGCCTGTTTGAAATGCCAGAAAACGGATAAAGACTAAAAAAAGCATACTGCCATATATGGTATGTTACTGTGCTCCACATGAATGTAATCTCCCTCTTCTTCTTTTTGCATTAAAAAAAGTTAATCTGCATTTATTGTTGCACTGTGTGACTTCATTCTCATTATACCAAAACGGTATTAGAGTTATGAAAATGCACTCATCCACTGATCAGACACACAGACAGACGGGTTGACCTCGTTTCCCAGCCATTTTATAACAGCAATGAAAGCAGACCAAAACATTTCTAATTAATGAGAAGCCACTTCTCCATCTGCATGATTCACACCTCTGTTAAAATTAAATGTTTGAAGAACAGATTCAAAATTGCAAAATTGTTGGTTGTTCAATTTTGCTTTTTGTATTAGAAGACTTTGCATGCTAAATATTCAGTAAATACAATCTATTGAGCACATGTGCTAATGACTTTTCAGTCTTTCTCACATAAATTCAAAGAAGTAAATGAGCTGAATGTAATTGAAAAAACAAGAGAAACGTACATTTCTTTATTTCTTTAAATTTAAATGATTAATTTTAAAAATGAAGCAATAGGACTCTTATGTATATGCCATAAACTAACCTACAAACATCCTGAACCACAAACAGCTACATGCAAACTTTATGTCATGATCAATTTTAATTCCACTTTTTATATTGAGTTTGAAATTCCCAGCCACATCAACAATTTCCATTTTGTTCTTTCTAGCAATAAACATCCTTGTCCAGAGAACAGTGATACTTCAAAACATTTAGAATTATTCTATAATCATTTGATGTTTGATATTTGATTATTTGATGATCACATTCAAGAATTACAGTTACCAGTTATTAAACTCAGAGTCGATCATTTTAATTCACAATAACTACTACTGCAATTCTAAACTAAATTAAAATGCGTGCTGATGGGTTAGAACTTTGCTCAGCATCTTCACCTCTCATCCTATGCTAAGTAAGATTTTTTTAAGTTTTATCAGCAGTGATTCATATGATGACTGATGACTAGATGACTTAGGTTTTTTTTCTTTTAAAAGTAAGCAAATAAGCAAAGAGCAGAAGCATCGTCAAACATTCATGATACTATTTTTACTTAGTTGAAACTACCACATATACCTTGTATTTGGGGCACTCGGGTGACGCAGTCGCCCGCTGCCCCATTACACATCCATTTACTTTACTGTTGTTGTCAATGTGTTAGTCACTCTGGGAATGAAGAGCAGTCTGAATGTGGGACAGTGCCCTGCTCGGTAGACACAACACAAGCCTATCTGGGCCAGCAGACTGCAAGCAGTCAATGCATATCTCACAACGGAAGTAACTGCAAGCAGAGCATCAACTCAACACATTATGACCAGTCTTGTCTGTGGTTATGAAAGTGTAAATTACAGTAATGTAATTGAACATAAGAGATAGAGTAAACTACGTGAAGGTGTTCCTGGAGCTTTCGAAGCGATCCATTATGAGCCCTGTCTTGGTGCTCTTGCAGCTGTAAAAGCATTGTACTTGTGTAAAAATTGAATATTTTGTCTAAAAGGCAAACATGCACTTTTTAGAAAAAAAAATAATATCGGGGCGTATGAGTCCCTGTGCAGAAACTAGATTTCTACAGTAAATGTACAGGACAGTCATAAGGCTTTATATGCGTCTTGACCAGTTGTTGCTCTACAAAGATAATTTGGGTGGTTTGCAACAAACGGCAAATTGTGGCTCATTTTCTATAATCTTCTCCTATCTTTCCATCTATTCTTTCGCTTCAAAATATATTTTCTGTTTCTCAATCAGTCTGTATTTCTCTAGTCTCTTAATCAATAGTAAGCACAATACCCATGGCGAAGCATTGCCCTGACTATGGATAATGGTGAGGATGAGAGAACATTTAATTACTCCTCCTGTTCAGCCCTGAGACAAACAACAGAAGCAGTGTCGGGAAAACAACAAAGCATATTGGATTGCCTGTTTTGCAACAACCTGAAAAAAAACCCATTTGTTTCTATTAGGTAACCTTCACTGGTAATGGGAGATGTACTATAAACGCGAAGATCCATTTTGTGCAGGAACACAAAAAATACAAAATTACTGGAACACAGAATGTTTTAGCCATGTGTTTTGTTTTTATGGTACATTTACTATGCATTTCAGTCCTCATCCCATACATCAAAACAAGGAAAGACTGATGCACCCGACTTTACACAGACCCAACGATGTGTAGTAGAGATACAAGCTAACTTGGGGATTGGAGTTGTTACTGTGAAGGAATATATTATACATTAATTGTTAACAGTGTTGAGGCTAACATAATACAAACTAACTCCTTAGTACTTTTTAATAACACAATATGTTTATTGTTCATTTAAGCTATTAGTTGTTTAATCACTTTTCAAATAAGCAAGCCATTAGGATTAAACATTTACAGCACTTCCCAATCCAATAGACTTCTTAGTCTGTGGCATTTTGTTCTTGCTCTCCTTGACATCGGGTGAATGCTTGTGCTAAAAAAAGGCACAGGAAAGGGCGCCTAATGATGATGAACTTATGTAACACACTTGATGTAACTGTTTGTAAATGCTGGATTTTGGAACATTAATGCATTATTTCACAGCAATACAGTGACATCATCAATATACACTTAATTTATCAAAGTGCCATACATTATTTCTTTTTGTAGCATTTAGCAGTGACAAAAGCGTATCCACATGAGTGGTTGGAAGCTGTGACACCAGGAACTTGCAAACTTGCTGCCTTTAAAATTATTCAAAGATGGGTACGAAGTCTGTGACTATTCAAATTAAGCTGCCATTTTGACACACCAAAGCAATTTTGGTGCAATAAACTGTCTGTTTGTAGCTGAGAGTGGTCAGGTTAGCAATTATAAGTAATCTGTTTAAGATAATAATGGCGAAAATCTACAAAAATCATAAACCTGTTACTATGTACATGCAGAGAAACTCACATTACACAGATATTCACATTCTTACAGTCAGAGTGGTGTTAAACATAAGACCAAAATCGGCCCCGCAATGACTCCAGTCCAGCCCACTGCATGAGTGAAGGAGGGCATAGATTTTGGACTTTTGAACAATAGCGTTACTTTATCAAAAAAAGGAAAAAGAATGAATGGTGCTGTTGAAATTAAACCATTTCTTATAGAAAAGGTGAGTTATCCTATAGATTAAATGTAACAGGAAGAGGACTTTCACTGGTCCGGCCCACTTAAGAACAAAGTGGGCTGTATGTGGGCCATGATTTAAAATATGTTTGACACTTCTGGTCCAGCCAGACCCAGAATTGAAACTGAAATGTCTCCACAACCAGTGATGTAGCTGCTGCAGGATAGTGATTGATTGCCTCCTACTAGGTGAAACACTGAATTGCCTTCCAATCAAGAGTATTCACATGAACCTCTGGGTGACCAGTTGGTTGCTTATTTATTTGTGAATGAAAGCAAAAATATTTGAATGCAATCATTGAGCAACCCACAGTTTTTTTCTAGTCACACGGATGTTGATATTTTCATATTCATATTTTTGATCCAGTGTGAATGAGGCTGTCTTTAACGTCCAACTCTAAACACAAAGCAAGAAAAACGCTGATTTATTTTAAATTCACAGTGATACAGCATTATATCGGCTATAAGAATGTTCTTTTGTAATTTGGAAATCAAATTGTAAAAATTTTTTATATAAGCTAATGCATTTGTGTGTCAGCTCCTATTTTTTAGTTACAACAGCCTGTAGGAGCAATAATACCTGCTGCTCTCTGATATTGTCATTGCTGACTGTTTGTTAGGATCTCCAAGGTAGCAGGTACATTCATACTGTGTGCATGTGATGTTGACAAGAGTCAAATATCAACGGTGTTGTTGTCTGGGCCTGATATTTCACAACCCAACCGTGGGGATACAGCGGGGAAAACAACAAAGCCATCCAGCTTCAAGTTAATGATTAGCAGTGATTTCTCCAAGGCATGCTCTGCTGGTAAAGGACCACATACAAGTCTGTCATTTCACTGCAGGAGGTGCTTTTGTTGGGGGAGCATCATATGTTATTCATTGCTGTGAAATCTGTTTCAGCTCAGCCAGATTACCCTGCTCAGCTCTCATTACAGTCTACATTTTCACAATATACACACACCACACATATACATACAAACACACACTTGTAAAACGGAATGCATTCTGAAAGGGTTTATAATACCACTGGCCTCTATCATTAGCACAGTATTGAATCTAGAGGGGACTGTCTGTATCTCTACTGTGCTCTTCACTTTATTTTTAGACAACTCAAATTAGGTCTGAACAAATGATTTGGAGTGTGGTAGAGTTTACTCCCCAAAATATTTTTCTATTATGTAACAGATAGACAAGAAACCAGCTCACAGATGAAACAGCACAGTAATATCACGTACAAACACAGTAATGGGGTAGTTTTAATATGGGAATGTATTTAATACATAATGAAAACGTAATGTGTTTATTATTAAATTGATTGATTGATTTTATTTTATTTTATTTTATTTATTTTTTCGAAGGCCTATAGGCCCAGTTCTGTTCCTCCAAAGATGGATTCTGCCATTTTTGTGACATGTATTACTGACCTGTCAAAACATTTGGTAAATATATTTATGTTTCCAAAGGTTGAGTTTCCATTTTATGGCACCTGCAAGACAAAATGGCTTGGGACAAGCTAAAGATCATTATGGCTTCTTGATAGTGAATCCCTGTGCAGTGGTTTTTCATCTTGCTCCATCATGAGCTGAAATTTTTAATTTCCCCTTAGTTTAATTAGTAGACAAACATCTGCCAGATTAATGACATTGCCATCAATGAGAATTCACTATGAATTACCAAATGTTAGCATGCACCAGCATAAAGTCAAGTGACACGTGGGCATTGGTGGGCATTGCTTGTTTCACGCTGGTATTTTATCTTTGTGATTATAAGTGTGTCACAATGACTGACAGCTGTTAGTATAAGCAGTCGTTTTTAATCAGATCTGTAATGCCTGTAACTGTATACTGGTGCACCAGCCTTCTTCTATAGTTCCTAGTCACAAGTGATGAAATTTAAGAATGCTAATCATGTAAGCGGTGTAAACATG